GGTATTTTGTGCAAATTTTATAAGTCACACATAAAATTTTAATAAATTTCCAACATTTTGGTATAGTTTTTGTTAGGATTTAATTACTGTAAATATTTTTAATTTTAATTACATGTCTAACTGATACAATGGGACACCCGTTACATAGAGAAAATTTATTTTTAACCTATAAAATTCTGTGCACGATATAGAATATCAGTGCATGGAAATAATTTTTAGTATTTTAAAAGACAATTCGAACAAAGTTGAGATCACCCCGATCCATTGAGCCGTTGCTGAGATAAATGGAATTTAAATCATCACAAGTTCAGAAATAATGAATTCTTAAAAAAATCAATAAGACAAAGTTTCTTAAAATCCAGAAATTAGTTTTTTCATATTGACCCTGCGCACAATTTCCAAAAATCAAAACTTACCTACATCTTATAGTTTTTGAGTTATTGATGGACAGGCATATCTACCGTTCCCCTTATGCCACAATAAAATAGGGAATACCGATGGATTGGTGCCAACAAACAATAGTTGCAAAAAATTTTATTTTGTTCTAGCTCTATTTAACGATTTTTAATGCTAAATAAACCATTTACCACCCTTTTGTCAAACACTTTATAATAGTATATTTATTAACTAACAAGTAAATAAAAATGTCGTTCCTTAAATGATTTATAATATAAATTACTGTTTATAAATGTTATTATTAAACAAATTACAGTACCGGATTATATTGTATATTTTAAATTTTCACCCCATAATTATCAATTTTAATGTACCCTGTTTGATATGAGATAGTGCGCCGCACTATCTGTTAAAAAAGTGATTTTTTGGGAAAAGTTTGGGGCGCACTATACCATGGGTGCGCATTATCTGAGAAAAATAATTTAAATTAAAATAATTTTTATTTGCAATAATTTTAAATTAATAGAATCAAAGAATTAAATCAAACTTAGTATTAATTAAACAACTTTATAAATTAAAAACACATTAATTGGAGTAAATATGTTAAAAAACGTGAGTATTAGCAAAAACTGATTAAATAAATTTTGAATTAAATTATTTAAACTTTTAAATCCTTTTGTCTTATCTAAATCTTGTGTTAAGCTAATGCCTAAACATTTCAAATAAGAATTTTCCCTAAAGCTCTTAATTTATAATCATTAATATCTGTGTGTATATTCATATAAAATCTGTACGCACTATACGGTGGGTGCGCATTATCTGATTATTTGAGTAAAAAGATAGTTTTGTGGTAAATATAGAAAGCGAACTATACGCCTGGCGCACTCTCACGTCAAACAGGGTATAATATTCTTATAACAATAACTTTTAATAAAAATACATAGCATGTTGTAAATTATTGTCAAACATATTTACTCCTCATCGGATGTACCGGGCTCATCAGGAACAATTTTCGGTTGATATTTATCCATCAAATTACATCGTTTAAAGAACTCATAGAAAAATCTATGCTCATCATTATCCTTAAGGTTGTTAATTAAGCCAATTATTTTGACATCCTTTCCGATGATGTTTTTATTAATTGACCAATCATCATATTTTGCCAACACTTCCGAGCATTCGGGTCTCTTTTTACCTTTATCGCCAACTTTTAGCATCGAGCTCAAATTAATTTGCAAACTTTTCATAATGGTGTTTTGAGTTTGACTTTCGTCTTGCCCATTGCCTGGTCTAGGTGGACTGACATAAAAAATTATTAACGTTTAAACAAATGGTACTGGTATAAATGGAATTATGCTTTTTCAACTCATCATTGCAAATACTGTATTATATAAACGGTCAACCTGAGTTGAAAATTACAGTGATACAAATCTCAAATTTAACAAATATTAACCAATTTGCTATTTTATTTTCCAATATATACTGTATGTACTGTATTAATCAATTTGATAATTCATGCTCCCAATATTCAAACACGGTGTATTGATCTTTGAATAATGTACATTACTTATCAAGTACATTGTTTTATATATAATTAATTATATTTCACTATACATTGTGTTTGAATATAAAGAAAGTCGATTATTAAATGATTAAGTGATTCCTATATTCATTTGGATTTAGTTTTGAAAATTTGAGTTTTCTATTAATGCGATAGAGTTTACGACTAACACGCTCACTTTTCTAATTCCTCTCGCTCAAGCTCAAATAACTCCGCGCCAATAATGGCCAAACTGAATACGTCAGATTTGTGATCGTATTTGCCACCTTTACCAATTTCAGGCGCTTGATAGTTGACCGTGCCAACGTCCATAGTATACGCGTTTGAACCTTGATTATTTATCGTTTTATTATGTACGGTGGCCAATCCAAAATCGCACAGTTTGACAAAACGATCATGCTCACTATCATACGAAATCAATATGTTTTCCGGTTTCAGGTCCCTATGGATTACGGGTGGACTCAATCCGTGCATATATTGCACGCACTCTAGCGTCTGACGGAAGATCTCGCACGTCATGTAGTACTCCAAGTCGCCCATCGTTTGCCCGTAATGTCGCGTAAATACCCCTGGTCTTAAATTAATGATTTTGCGCAAAGTATCGGGACAATACTCCATGATGATATAAAATGTTTTTTCGCCGATCCACCAATCGTAATATTTTGCAATATAAGCGGAGTTGACTTTCTTTAGGTTTTCCACCTCCCGGTATACTTTGTTTTTGTCGTCCAACCCTATAAAACATAGATATGCTAAATTCTATATTCTGTATATTTTAAGTGACAAGTAGCCTTGTATATACTTTGAATTTTAAATAAATATTAGTTATTTTGTTTATTACAAATGACTTAAAATTAATGTTGAATCAGATTCATTAATATGCAAAATATATACAAGTTGTCAACCCAGTGACAATATGTTATAAACTCAAAGCTATAAAAAACATGCTACATTAATTTTTAAAACTGTATTTATTACCATGTATAGGAATACATTTGACGGCACGAACTTGGTTATCGTTTTTCATTCTCACTTGTAACACTTTACCAAAACTACCTTGGCTAAGTAGCGAGAGTTTGTCAAATATTGCCGATTCTTCATCCTTACCATTTTGCTGAAGTTCAAATTGCTGGACTAAGGCGGATCTCTAAATTAAATTGTATTAATATTGTTATGTGGGACAATCTATTATAAATTATTATAATTCAGGAACTTATAAAACAAATATAAATTAAAATTATAAACTAACTTAAATTATAAATATACAGATTAATCAAATAATGCAATCAACAATATATATTAATTAATGTATTCAACTAAATGTAAATAACTAAATATCAGGCGCGTACTTTATAAATTTAATAAAACCAATGATAAACATATAACATAAAATCATGTAATTTTAGGCAATTTTACGTAGAAATTTATTATATATTTTAATAATGCTAACCTGATCAGTTTTGAACAAAGAATGCTGCCCGGTACTCGACTTACTGTCACTTGAAGTTTGCATGCCAGAATTGATGTTATTATTATACAAATGACTTGTTGAATTATTGCCACTTGAATTTGGCATGCCACCAATAATGTTGTTATTATACAAGTGACTCATATTAAAATTTTTCGGAATATTTATGTAGTTACCACTAACACCACTTAGACCACCTTGTCCCTGGCTATTATTTCCAGAGCTCGATTCGTCACTGGCACCAGGTCCATTTAAATGTAGGCCGGCATTGTTGCCTACGGTTACAGGACCCATGTTGCCGGTATTATTGAACCCGAGGCTCGTAGAGGTTTCGGTGCTAGCAATGCGACTATCTGCCTCGCTAAGCTCTATGGGGCTATTAACGTTAATTGTTTGTTCAGGCTGACGTGGATCATTTACAGTTTGATCAGGCGGTGCGTTAATTAGTGCTTGATTATTAATAAATGTCTTATATTTTTTAAGCCTTCGCTTGTGGTGATAGCCCCATAACGCTATAAAAATGATCACGCCACATAATAGCGCACATAATGTAATTGGGACCACAAAGGCCCAATCATTTCTATAATCCTGGTCACTAGTACTCATTTAACACACACCGTAATATCCACATTTGATAACCAAGCACAGTTTGTGAATTATTTAAATCTAATTTTAAACTAAAATCTAATTTAATTGCATTAATGTAACTATTATGTTTAGCTTATTAATACACATTCAGTACAAATGCCATACATAATGTTTTTGCGCAATGTGAATATTATGTAATATTGTAAACTTTAATACATTAATAAATTTCTGATTATACAAATATTAAATAAACATATAATTTCAAAAATTAAAATGTGCTTTCAACATTGCTTTAAAATAGTTACACAGTTCAGTTTTGCACAAACTTGTAGGATTGTTAAAGCATAGTTAAAAGATATTTTTTATTAAAACCACATAAAATGCTATGTATACTAAGTAATTTCTATGATATATTAATATATTTCTATTATAAAGATAAAGTATTT